AGGTTTCTCTGTCACAGGAGCATCTCCCTCCCTCCCTCCTTCTTTCATTCCTCCCATCCCTTCCTTCCATCTTCCTTCCTTCCTCCCTCCCTCCCTCTCTCCCTTCCGATTTGTTTGAATGGCATAGACACAAAAGAATCATCAAAACCGGAATAAAACAGATGGGCAACTGTTAATCAATATGTTACTGGACCCGTTAGTGAAGGATTCCGTGCACTGGCCCAGTGCCCGGGAGAACAGTCAAGCGTTCAAGGTCTTATATAAGGCCACCTGTATTGCAGTGGGAAGCTGTTCCACAGGGCAATCACTAGGAGAAGGACCCCTTCTGACACCCGTCCCTAGGAAGAGCAGAACTAACAGGGAACATGGGGTGCCCCAAATATACCAGGCTTATGGTGATGGATGGATGGAACATGAGGGATTTTGAGGAGCAGCTTAAGTCAAGAGATGAAAGCCCATTAAAGACGTCTAGAGGGTCAGTGGTCAGATTGTTCCCAACATGGAGTCCTTTGAAACATTGGGAGATAAAACCCCACTCAACCCTATTAATCAATCAATCAGAATAGAGCTGGAAGGGACCTTGGAGGTCTTCTAATCCAACCCCCTGTTCAAGCAGGAGACCCTATATACCAGGGTAGTCAACCTTGGCTCATTTATGACTCGTGGACTTCAACTCCCAGAATTCCTGAGCCAGCTAAGCTAAGCTGGCTCAGGAATTCTGGGAATTGAAGTCCACGAGTCATAAAAGAGCCAAGGTTGACTACCCCTGCATACCATCACGGACAAATGGCTGTCCAATCTCTTCTTAAAAGGCTCTGGAATTACAGATGGAGATTCCCTGTGCCCCAGAACTTGGCTTTGAAGTACAGGTCATCCTCGACTTACGATCACAATTGGGACCAGAACTTCCCCTTACTAAGCAAGGTGAATCTTGCCCAATTTTATGACTAGTTTCGCCAGGGTTGTTAAGCGAATCCAGATTCCTCTCTTGACTTGGGTGGTCAGAAGCCAGCCGGGAAGGATGCAAATGGTGATCACGTGACCCTGGGATGCTGCAACTGGCATGGAAGTGCATGCCAGTGGCCAAGCACCCAAATTTTGATCACATGATCCTGGGGAAGCTGTGACGGTTGTAAATATGAGCATCAATCAGAAGTTTGTTGTTGTTGTTTTTAGTGCCATTGTAACTTTGAATCGTTGCTACACAAATGTTTGTAAGTCAAGGGCAACTTGTATGCCCTTCTGTCTTGGATAAAATGCAGAAATACATTTTCCCGGGAGGTGGGTTGACGGAGAACATCCTTAGAAACTTGAGGGAGGTTGTGCATGCTTCCCAAATTCTAAATGTGACGCCAAAATGTGACTGACTTCCTTGTCATATTCCGTTTTTAAGGTGGAGACAAAATTTGAACCACATTGGACAGAAACCATGTAGTATTGAGAAATTATGGATATCGTACAATCATAGGACTGAACATTCATTTAGTGTCCATTCAAAATTACAACAGCAATGAAAAATGGGACTTCCAATCAGTCCTCACACTTACAACTGATGCAGAATCCCTATAATCACGTGATCAAAATTTGGTTGCTTGGCGTCTAACATGTATTTATGATGGTTGCAGCATCCCGGGGGGTGTATTTGTTATGTCACGTGACCGCCCTTTGCAACCTTCCCAGCCGGCTTCCAATAAAGTCAATGGGGGAAGCCGGATTCACTTAAAGACCACACGATTTACTTAACAACAACTACAGCGATTCTCCTAACAACCATGGAAAAAAGGTGGTAGAATAGGGCACGACTCACTTCACCGCCGCCTTGCTTAACAATGGAAATTCTCATCTCAATTTTGGCCGTAAGTTGAGGCCTGCCTGTACTCTTTGTTGATTAACTCCATAGTGCTGGATTATAAGGAAGTTTATATAATGTAAATTTACAGAGTGGCAACTCCCTCTGGGGACCTGCCTTTCCTGGTTTAAGGTCATGAATAATTTCTGTCCTTCAGGAATGTAGTTATCTCTGATTACTGGCTGGGTAATTGGCAAGTGGCTCTGTTCTGCTTGTAGACTTCCAGGAGATGCTGGTTGGTCCTTGGAAAACCAGGATGCCTCCATAAGACAAACTTGGTTTCTGTCATCCATTCAATGGCATGATCTCTTAGGATGGACCAGGTTGCATTGCTCCCCAGTTCCCTGAAGTATTGCAAAACTGCCTGAACTTGTGAGATTTCGATGCTCACACCCTGCTTGACTGTGGAAATCTCACCAAACCTCTGAGCCTTATGAAACATTTGACATTAAACCCATGAATGGGGTTGTGTCCCATCCTGAGTGCTGTGCTTTGGAGCAGAGGAGATGCTAAGGCCTTCAGTTTATGAGATTGTATTTCCAGTTCCTCTATGATGTCAGGATTGAACAGGCAAAGCACAACGCAGAAGGACCTTCTTATAAAGTTTTTTTTTTTAAATGTAATATTTCACCAATAGACAAGGTTTAGGGTTTCAGCCCTGCAACAGTGTTTCTCAAACTTGACAAGTTTAAGACATGTGGACTTCCACTCCCAGAATACTCCAGCCATCGTGGCTGCTGTGGAATTCTGGGAGTTGAAGTCCACCCATCTTAAAGCATTCTGGCTGGGGAATTCTGGGAATTGTAGTCCACCTACCTTCAAGCATTCTGGCTGTGGAATTCTGGGAGTTGAAGTCCACCCCTCTTAAAACATGCTAAATGGGGAATTCTGGGAGTTGAAATCCACCCGTCTTGAAGCATTCTGGCTGGGGAATTCTCGGAGTCAAAGTCCATTTACCTTAAAGCATGTTACTGGGGAATTCTGGGAGTTGAGGTTCACCCATTTTGAAGCATTCTGGCTGGGGAATTCTGGGTGTTGAAGTCCACCCATCTTAAACCTTATAGTATTAACCTTGTGAACTCTAAAGCTTCCTCCTTCCATTATGTATTCAAGATGGACAGTGATTAATATTTGTATGTTACTTATATGTAAGGGTGTGGATCTATACATATGTTGTATATGGTATGTTTAAATGTGTGTTATGTATGTGTACTCTTTGAGAGCAAGCAACTAAATTTCATTTTTAATATGTGCCACAGTAAAAAATAACAATAAAGGTTATCTGTCTGTCTGTCTATCTATCTATCTATCTATCTATCTATCTATCTATCTATCTATCTATCTATCTATCTATCTATCACCTATCTACCTATCTCTCCCGTCCGTCCGTCCATCCATCCATCCATCCATCCATCCATCCATCCATCCATCCATCTATCTATCTATCTATCTATCTATCTATCTGTTGGGAATGCTATCAGTTTGATGCAGTGCCAAATCAGGCAAAAGGTGCCTTGTTTGCCAATAGATCGGTGAGCCACCAAGGACCAAATCAGCTGTGGAGGAGGCTGGCCAGGCTGCACTTCTGCCGGTGGTGTCATGTCTTTGAGATGAAAAGAAGTTTCGAAATCCAGTTTCATTTGCAGATCAAATGCAGAGGAATCACAGCCAGCCAGCCAGCCCGCCCGCCTGGGTGCTTTGCTGCCTCTTGGGCTACTCAGCTGAGTTTCTCCCAAGACAGCTGAACTGAGTCATTTGTTCGTGGGAGCGAAAAATAAGCGGAACTGAAACTAGGAGGACAAGAAACTCGACAAGTCAGGTGGATTACCACACCTTCCGCCCTCTGCTACTTGGAGAAGAAGTTTAATTAGTTCAGGAATAGCAACACAGGCGCATTTGCAGATCAGGCCACCCAGCCTGGACTCAGTTCTCCACTTGCAAACTTGAGAGAGGATTTCCAGAATTTTTGCCGTGCAATTCTTACAGTTTTGTTTAGATGGATATAATGGAGAAGGGTAAAAATGTGTCTACACAACTAGTCTTCAACTTATGAGCCCAAAATTTCCATTGCTAAGCGAGACGGTTATTAAGTGAATTTTGCCCCATTTTATGACCTTCCTTGCCACAGTTGTTAAGGGAATCACTGCCATTGTTAGAAACACGGTAGCGAAATGAATCTGGCTTCTCCATTAACTTTGCTTGTCAGAAACTCACAAAAAGGGATCACGTGACCCTGGGACGCTGCAACTGTCCTAAGTACATGCCAGTTGCCAAGTGTCTGAATTCTGATCATGTGACCAAGGGGATGCTGCAATGGTCATAACTGTGAAAAATGGTTACGTTTTTCAGCACCATTGTAAGTTTGTATGGTCATTAAATGAATTTTTGTAAGTCAAGGACTACCTGTACAGTAGATATTTGGGGAAATACTCATCAAAGTGAATTTTAGTGCAGCTTCATTATTTTAAAAATATATAAATTAATCGCAATTTATTGTTTCCATTTCCCGCTCTTACCAAACCCCTCTTAGGTTGTGTGTGTGTGTGTGTGTGTGTGTGTGTGTTCGGATAGTGAGCTTTGAATTCAGGGCAATCTAAAACTAGCAAACAAGCACCAACATCAGGCCATAACATGGTTCACATAGTTCACACTTATCTTTTGTCAAGCCAGCCATGGTAGCTTGTAAACCATGATTTATAGTTTGGCTCAATATACCCAGGGTGGTTTCCTGGATGTCTCTGGAATGTCCTTTGAGTTGCAGGTCAGATATTCATGACTCTTGTTAACGAGCTTCACTGCTTCGGTTGAAACTCCATGACCCTAGTTTCCTGTTTATGCTGCATGTGGTGTTAAACGCTGAATCACAGTTTTTGCTGAAAGGTCTTCAGAAGTGGACAATGGGCAAAATTGGGGGGCAGCATTTCGGCTTGTATCTTCTGCGGAGGGGCCTTTCCAGGTCAAAGTCTGGTTGACTGCACCAGCTGGGTTTTGAGAGGTTGTGTAAGAAGCTGCACCCCTGTTTTGAGCTGCAAGAAGCTTCAGCAGCCGTAGGAAAAGGCTTGGGACATTCAAGGATACACAATGGCGGCTTGCCAAGCCCTGCTCCAAACCTTAAAGAGAAATTTCTTGATTTTCTGCCTTCTCCCTTTAGGCTCCCTGGTTCTGGGTCAAGAGAAAATCGAAGTCCTGGAGAATAAAGGTAAGTTTTGAACCTGTGCCCGCATTCCCTTTCTATTATTAAATAAAGTGAAATAAAATGTTATGATAAAAATATGTAATAATTTATATGTTATTTAATTGAATTTACATAATAATTTATATATTGATTATCAAATAAATTAATTGAAATATAAATTATAAATTAATTGGAATAATTAAATAATTTGTATAATTTAGTTTATAATTTATATAAAATAAATTTATATAATTAGGAGGCAACGGAGACAAATTCCTTGTGTGTTCAATCACACTTGGCCAATAAAGAATATTCTATTCCATATTCTCTTCTGGAGTATAAGGTGTGATTTCCTCCCCCCCCCCCCGAACTTTTAATTCTAAAATGTGATCCCTGCAGTTTTGTTTAGAGGTATATAAGGGGAAGGAATAAAAATGTGTCTCTATCTATTGGGACCAGAATTTCTGTTGCTAAGCAAGATGATTATTAAGGGGCCTGATTTTATGAGCTTTTTGCAACAGTTGTCGGTGAATCACTGCAGTTAAGTGAATCACACAATTGTTAAGCAAATTTGGCTTTCCCCATTGACTTTGCTTGTTGGAAACCGGTTGGCAAGATTAGAAATGATGATCAGGTGATCCTGGGATCTTGCAACCATCATAAATATATGCTGGTTGCCAAGCAGCCATCACAATGTGACCCTGGGGATGCTGGGATGGTTATAAATGAGTGGAGGGTGGGTCTAGTTGTAAGTCACTTTCTTCAGTGATGTAACTTTGAACAGTCACTAAAGTTTGAAAGTTAATTAAAAACTTAATTCTAATTTTTTGTTCAGTCTGGCATAGACCTTCAGTCTACTCTTTCTCCTTGGAGTTGGACTACAGTAACACTCATATTTAATAGGCATACGCAGAGGAAATCAGTGGGTTTTTTCAAAAACTTGAAAACTCATCACATAGAACAAAGTCCTGCCAGACGTGAACTTTTTCGCTGCAAAATGGAAAAACAGACAGAAGTGAGGCTCTCTGTGGGTAACATTTGTGACTTCCTTGGCCTCAAATTTGCCAAATTATTTTGTGATTCCTCTTGTAGAAATATATAGAGCCACACTTAAAGAGGGATAGACAACTTACTTTTAGAACAAATCTGTTGTTGTTTAACAAATAACCATCAGTGAGTGTTTCAGAACATTTGTTCAAAAAGAATTCAGCCTCCTCTACATCCAAAAATTCAGATGCAGGCAGTCCTCGACTTACGACCGCAATTGAGCCCAAAATTTCTCTTGCTAAGAGAGACATTTGTTAAGCGAGTTTTGCCCCAGTTTACCACCGTGCACGGTTATGCAATGAGTCACTGCACTTGTTAAGTTAGGAATATGGCTGTTAAGTGAATCCGGCTTTGCTTGTCAGAAGGTTGCAAAAGGGGATCACGTGACTTTGGGACACTGCGACCGTCATAAGTATGAGTCAGTTGCCAAGGATTTGAATTTTGATCACGTGATCATGTGGATGCTGCAAAGGTTGTAAGTGTGAAAAAACATCCATAAGTCACTTTTTTCAGTGCTTTTATAAGTTTGAACGATCACTAAATGAACTGTCGTAAATCGAGGACTACCTGTAGTCCTCAGCTTACAATCACAGTTAGGACCAGAAAATTGATCATTAAGGACAGAGAGTGTTAAGTAAGACATCCCATGATTGCAGTTTGCAACCTTCCCTGCCAGCTTCTCCCTTTGACTTTGGTTGTCAGAAACCGGCTGCCCAGGTCACAAATGGTGACCACATGACCC